AAATTACTGAACTTAAATATACAAGTTTGATAAAAATCATCATTAAAGAAGAAAATTTCAAATGGCATTTAGAAGCTTTTGCATCTGAACTCTTCATATATATGCGTGTGTGTGTGTGTGTGTACAGTACATACTTTTTTAGTTTAATTTAGGCAAGGCACGTTTATTTATAAAGCACATCACTGTGGCAGTTCAAAGTGCTTTGCATAGAGAGGAAATAATCACAAAATAAAAGCAAGGAAAATTCAAACAGTTATTCAAAAGCTCTAAAGGAATTATAATAATCACACTATAGCAATTCATAGAGCTTTACATAGAAAATAGACACAAAATAAAAGCAGGGGGAATTAAAGGAGATCAAATAAATTCGAGTAATATGAATTAAAATGTTAAAAAGATGTTCTGGCAAACACAAGTGTGTCTTATTTTGACTGTGATTTCCCCATTTAGTATAATGTGTTGCTTCCTCCTTGAAAATTGAAGTTTCAATTGCACTTTAGTTCAATTCGATTCAAATTCAGTTATTTATCTCAAACTGCAGTTTGAGCAGCCTGAGGTGAACTCTGGATGTTATCCTGGAAAGATGTAAGCAGAATGCTGGCCTCATCCACAGATGGTTTCTACGTTTGCTGCAGGTTGATGAAGCATATATTACTCGAGCTGCCAGTTATTTCCGTCGAGAGCCAGAGAGGAAGGCTGGTGCATGCCTAAGTCAGGTTCAAATAAGCAAATAAATGCCGGTGGACACCCGAGAACAAAATGAATATGCCGTTTATCTGTACAGGCCAGTAGGGGGATTGTGGGAAGGGGTGACAGATGCGGTGGACGGCATGTAAACTGAACTTCTAGAGCTTTCCAGGCAAGCTGCATAGTAACAAGTACTTCACATGAATCACATTAGTTTGTGAGTTTTTTTGCAAATAGATAAAGTTAACAGGTCTGCTGTTTCGTGTCTTGCTTTAAAACGAACAATTATGTAATGAGAGTAGCTATCTTGAAATTTTGGTGATACACACCGTTCTTCTGTTTTTAGAAGTCTGCTCATCAAGCCTGCATTTATTGGATTCAAAATACAGTAAAACCAGTCATATTTTGGAATATTAATACTGTTTCAAATATGTGAATATATAGTAAAATGTGATTGATTCCTGCTGTATTTTCAGCATCATTACTCCAGTCTTCAGTGTCACATGATCCTTCAGAAATCACTCTAATGTGATGATTTGATGCTCAAGAAACATTTCTGATTATTATTTATGTTGAAAGAAGTTGTGCTGCTTATATATTTGTGCAAAGCTTTATTGTTATTGTTTTGATAAATAGAAAGTTCAAATAACTAGATTTATTCGAAATATAAATATTTTGTAACGTTAATCAATTTAATGAGTCCTTGCTGAATAGGAGTATTAATTTATCTAAAAAAATGTGAATATTATTCTGTACTTTGTCTCCATTAGGCTACATTTGTTTGTTCATAAGCATCTCCATAGTTACCATTAGTCTTTATATGCACGCAGTTATTTAAAATGCACTTTTGAAATCAACTTAAACTCCTAAACATATGATATTTGATTCAAAAGATACCATAGTGCATAATGTATGGTAGGATTTTTACACACGAGTAAATTGTCAAGTGCCCTGTGGTAAACCTGTACAGAAAACAGTATGAGTGCTGCGATCAGTGTGTGCTCTGGGGTTCATAAGGGCAACTGGCCACTGGTTATTTTTAGGATGAGGGGTCTGTTATCGGTCTTATCAACAGATAATCCAACCATTTGGTAGCCATGTGTCCATCACTGAAGCTCTACTTGTTATGAAACCAGGGAATCCCCCATATACACCAACTCGCGGCTATACACTTGAGCAGTTATTTTTTGGTCTGAAACTCTCAAATAAGACTGATCCAAGTCAAGCGGTGCGTCTAGACTATATAGTATGAGTAGTAATAGTGTGTATGAATCTAGACTTACTACATTCGCCATGTTGTCATGGTGTCAGTTGCGTCGCTTCACAGCCATTCACAAATATTGTGAATTTGTGAATGACCATTCACTCTCCCGTGGCCTCATGGGAAAGTAAAGTACCTATACCTCGTATGCAGAGATGTGCTGTGTTCGAAAACGCTCCTCTATACCGTTATTCACTATTGCCTACATTACTTCACTAAGTCCATTTGAAGGAGTGAAGCTTCAAGAGTGAGAATTCGCTTCAAGTGCTGCAGCGTAGTTTGTGCTGATTAATAATCATTTGAAACATAGCAAACTGGCAGCTCCAGTTGATACTAATGAAAAGATTTATCTTGAACTGAAACTAGCATGTATAAATCTTAAATAAACAATTTAATAATCAGTTAAAATGGAATTTATACCTGTGTGATTTTACACTGTGGCCACATTGGACCAGAGGTTTGGAAAATGGATTCGGCTGCAAGCGCCATCTTCTGGTCAGAAACGGGAATTCATTCGGTATGATCGACACTGCAGTGCATTATGGGTATTCTCTAGCCGTTGAGTGTACATCAGATGTACTCTCGTTATTGCGGTGCATTATGGGATTGAATGAGTATACACAATAATGTAACACTATGGTTTCGGACACCACTACAAATGGCTGTATATCCTCAAATAGTGCCCTATTTATGTAGGGCACGATTTCAGATTCAGCCAATGAGAAGTGCAATAAAACTGAATCATACCTGTCACGCAATTGTCCATGAATTTATCCGGGAACTGTTTGCCGGATAAATAATATTCGGAAAAACTACTCATTTGGTGTACTGTTTTCACCTTACTATAGTAGAGAAGTTCAATTTTGGACTTTAACATTATTACAAAATTAATAAAAACTAATTTTTTTAAACTTTCTATTAATCAGAGAATCCTGACAAAAATGTATTACGATTTCCTCAAGAATATGAAGCAGCACAACTGTTTTCAACATTGAAAAAGTTTCTTGAGCAGCGAATCATCATTTAATTTCAAACTCAGGTTTGATACTCTGAAATAAGCCTGATCAAAGCCAAACTGTTAAAACCAAATTGAAATGTATTGTTAAACAGGAAATGTAATGGATGTTGTTGTGTTCTCCTCACTTCCTTCCTCCAAAAGAGATGTCATGCAGCTAATATGAGAAGAGCTTGTAATGAATGGCAGCGCTGCTAAATATAAACATGGAGACATGATGTCTTCCCATTAGACTCCATTTATGTCTTCGCTCCTGATAACAGCAGCCTGGCAGGAACACCCTGAGGCATTGTGGGCAAATATCTATGAACAATGACTGTGGAAGATTGTAGCATGAATATCAATTTTGTGACATTAATAGTGCAGCAATGCCCTGACGAGAAGCGTGCTAGACGAATGCTGACGGCAAATAACTGTTCATAACCGCTACGATAATGAAAGCATTACTACTTTTGCGTCCTGTGTTAACTTGAGTTATGGATTTGAATGATAGCTCAGATTATGTGTTTTTTTTAGATTGTGTGATGCTATTTGTTCAGCCCGTTCTCATCCTTTAGCGTCACATAGAACGCTATATGACAAAACTTACCCTATCTCACGACCTTTTCGTACGAATTCGACGAATGATAAAAAATTTCTAATTCGTATGACCTCACTCGTACGAATTCGTACGATTTGTCCAAACCGACTTGATGGGTAGGTTTAAGGGGCGGGGTAAGGGGTAGGTCATTCGCACGAATTCATACGAATTGGCCAATTCGTAAAATATGTACGATTTAGCAAAATCGTACTAATTCGTACGAGTGAGGTCACATGAATTCATACGAATTAGCCCCTTTTTAATCATTCGTCGAATTCGTACGACTTGGTCGTGAGATCGGGTTGGACAAAACGGCGCTATACTACGCACATGGCACCCTTTATCGTTAATATAACACGCGAACCCAAGTCGTAATAAATCCTTTAGCGTAATATGAGACTACCCTACCCTACCCCACACCTAAACCTACCCATCACAGCGCGTGTTATATTAACAATAACGGGTGTCGTGTGTAGTATAGCGCCATTTTGTCATATAGCGTTATATGACGCTAAAGGATGAAAATGCGTTGATTTGTTTATGGTTCTTTTAGTCTTTAGGACAATACGTTGTCAAAACGATCGCACGGATTGCTGAAATGCTGTATTATCATGCCAGGCCAGTAGATGGCGTGCACTTTGAAACCTTTTTAAAAAGTTTGTGTTTAAATAGCCCCTAAAGTGCGTTGAATGTTTTTTGTTTTTTGAAAATGTTTTTTGAAACTGTAAATGAAAGCCATGCCCAAGTAGTTTTAGTAAAGAAATTAGTGCATTTATGATCATATTTATTTTAAGACAAGTTAGTTTAATTCATTGATGAATCCTAAAAAAGTAGGCTATCAGTTTCCCAAAAATACTTAGCAGCACAACTGTTTTCAACATTAAGAAGAAATTAATTTCATTTTAAATTCAGATTTGAAACTCTGAAAGTCTGATCAAAGTAAAA